GAAAAAAAAAACCTAGATGTATGTATTAATTTTTTGCATGTGCTGTCTGTGAAATGTGACCAAAGTGTAAGTAGGAGTAGCAAGATATCCCTGTTATCTAGCGTGTTTATGAGACAGAAAAAGAAAACCAGCAATCCTACTATCATGCAAAACAGTTACAGGTTTTTGTTTCACAGTCATCTGGCAGTACGGTAGTACTTCCCTGGGTGGTTGCTGTCTGGATGTTATAATGAAAAAAGCTGGATGTCCTGGCTTTAAGTGAAACAAAGCTGAAGGGGGAAGGAGAGTTTCAGTGGGGAGAAATAAATGGGATTAGGTCAGGGGTTTCTAATAGAGGTAAGGAAGGAGTAGCAATAATGTTGAAGGATCAGTTATGGCAGGAAAAGAGGGAATATACATGTATAAATCCAAGGATTACGTGGAGTAAAATAAGGGTTGAATGTGAAAAGTTGGTTATAGTAAGTGTGTATGCACCTGATGAAGAAAGAAGTGAAGAGGAGAGGGAGAGCTTTTGTTGAGTAAGTGCATGGGGAGTTTTGACCCAAGTGAGAGAGTACTTGTGGTGGGGGGCCTCAATGCTCAAGTGGGTAAAACTGTTGTGGAGGGAGTAATAGGTAAGTTTGGGATGCCAGGGGTAAATGAAAATGGGGTAGGGGGGTGCTTTAACAGAACTACATACAGAAAAGTTTGGTAATAAGTAATACTGTACATATTTTAAGAAAAAGAGGATAAATAAGTATATAAGACATGATATAACACGTAATGAAAGTACATAGTTTGTTGGGTTATGTATTGGTGAATAAAAGTTTGTTGGATAGACTTCAGGATATGCATGTTTATAGAGGGGCAGCAGATATATGTGATCATTACTTAGTTGTAGTTACAGTTAGAGTAAGAGGTAGATGAGGCAAAAGGAAAATGGCAACAGCAAGTAAGAAACAGGTGAAAGTTTATAGACTAAGGGAAGAGGAAGTTAGAGAGATATAATCAACTATTGGGAGAAAGGTGGACTAGTGCAAGTATGGGTAATGGGGGGGGGGAGGTTGAAAAGGGGTGCGCTAGTTTTAAAAAGGCAGTGTTAGAATGCGAGGCAGAAGTTTGTGGCTATAGGAGGGTGGGTGCAGGAGGAAGGAGGAGTAATTGGTGGAATGATGAGGTAAAGGGTGTGATAAAAGAGAAAAAGGTCATCTATGAGAGGTTTTTACAAAGCAGAGGTGATATAAGAAGGGTGGAGTATATGGAGAGTAAAAGAGAGATGAGGAGAGTGGTGAAGGAATGCAAATGATAGAGTGGGTGAGGCGCTGTTAACAAATTTTACTGAGAAAAAGAAAAGATTTTGTTGTGAGATCAATAGGTTAAGAAAGCCTAAGGGATGAATGGATTTGACAGCTAAAAAACAGAATAGGGGAGTTAGTAGATGGGGAGTTGGAGGTATTGGGAAGATGGTGCGAATGTTTTGAAGAACTTAAATGTTGATGAAGAGAATGAGGCAGTAATTTCAAACACTGGCCAGGGAGGTATAACATCTTTTAAGAGTGAAAAAGTCAGATGTGAGTGTAGGGAGGTGCATGAGCTCATGCATTAGGTAGAATGAAAGGGGGTAAAGCAGCTGGAACTAATAGGATCATTACAGAAATGTTAAAAGCAGGGGGATATTTATTTTTTTAGTGGTTGGTACTTTGGTTCCTTTATACAAAGGGAAAGGAGACAAAAGAGACTAAAAAAATATAGGGGAATAAGTTTACCGAGTTTTATATCAAATTGGGGAGGAGGAGTATGGAAGAAGTGAATGTTTTCAGAAACTTGGGAGTTGACGTGTCGGCGGATGGATTTATGAAGGATGAGGTTAATCATAGAATTGATGAAGGAAAAAAGGTGAGTGGTGCATTGAGGTATAAGTGGAGTCAAAAAACGTTATCTATGGAGGCAAAGAAGGGAATGTATGAAAGTATAGTAGTACCAACACTCTTATATGGGTGTGAAGCTTGGGTTGTGAATGCAGCAGCGAGGAGGCAGTGGAGATGTCCTGTCTAAGGGCAATGTGTGGTGTAAATATTATGCAGAAAATTCGGAGTGTGGAAATTAGGAGAAGGTGTGGAGTTAATAAAAGTATTAGTCAGAGTTCTGAAGAGGGGTTGTTGAGGTGGTTTGGTCATTTAGAGAGAATGGATCAAAGTAGAATGACAAGGAGAGCATTTAAATCTGTAGAAGGAAGGCGGGGTAGGGGTCGTCCTCGAAAAGGTTGGAAGAAAGGGGTGAGGGAGGTTTTGTGGGCGAAGGGCTTGGACTTCCAGCAGGCGTGCATGAGTGTGTTCGATAGGAGTGAATGGAGACGAATGGTATTTGGGACTTGATCTGCTGGAGTGTGAGCAGGGTAATATTTAGTGAAGGGATTCAGGGAAACCGGTTATTTTTATATAGCCAGACTTGAGTCCTGGAAATGGGAAGTACAATGCCTGCACTCTAAAGGAGGGGTTTTGGGATATTAGCAGTTTGGAGGGATATGTTGTGTATCTTTATACGTATATGCTTCTAAACTGTTATGTTCTGAGCACCTCTGCAAAAACAGTGATTATGTGTGAGTGAGGTGAAAGTGTTGAATGATGAAAGTATTTTCTTTTTGGGGATTTTCTTTCTTTTTGGGTCACCCTGCCTCGGTGGGAGACGGCCGACTTGTTGGAAAAAAAAAAGTTTAATGAGTATACCAGGTAAAATGTATGGTAGGGTTATTATTGAAAGAATTAGAGGCAAAACAGAGAGCATGATTGCAGATGAACAAGGAGGCTTTAGAATGGGTAGGGGATGTGTAGACCAAGTGTTTACATTGAAGCATATAAGTAAATATTTAGATAAAGGAAGGGAAGTTTTCATTGCATTTATGGATTTAAAAAAGGCATATGATAGGGTGGATAGGGAGCAATGTGGCAGATGTTGCAAATTTATGGAATAGGTAGTAAGTTACTAAATGCTGTTTTTATGAGGATAGTGAGGCTCAGGTTCGGGTGTGCAGGAGAGAGGGAGACCACTTCCCAGTAAAAGTAGGTCTTAGACAGGGATGTGTAATGTCACCATGGTTGTTTAATATATTTATAGATGGGGTTGTAAAAAAGTAAATGCTAGGGTGTTGGGGAGAGGGGTGGGATTAAATTATGGGGAATCAAATACAAAATGGGAGTTGACACAGTTACTTTTTGTTGACGATACTGTGCTTTTGAAGATTTTAAAGAAAAGTTACAAGGGTTAGTGGACGAGTTTGGGAGGGTGTGTAAAGGTAGAAAATTGAAAGTGAACATAGATAAGAGTGATGAGGGTATCAAACGAGTTAGGTAAAAAAAAAAACTGGATATCACATTGGAGGGAGGGAGTATAGAAGAAGTGAATGTGTTCAGATATTTGGGAGTTGACTTGTCAGTAGATGGGTTTATGAAGGACGAGGTTAACCATAGAACTGATGAAGGAAAAAAGGCGAGTTGTGCAAAGATGGGAATGTATGAGAGTATAGTGGTACCATTACTCTTATATGGGTGTGAAGCATGGGTTGTAAATGCTGCAGCAAGGAGGCTGGAAGCAGTGGAGATGTCGTGTCTAAGGGCAATGTGTGGTGTAAATATTATGCAGAGAATTCGTAGTGTGGAAACTAGGAGGAGGTGTGGAGTTACTTAAGTATTATTCAGAGGGATGGAAGAGGGGTTGTTGAAGTGGTTTGGTCATTTAGAGAGGATGGAGCAAAACAAAATAACTTGGAGGGTGTATAACTCTGTAGTGGAGGGGAGTAGGGGTAGGGGTCATCCTAGGAAAGGATGGAGGGAGGGGGGGGTAAAAGAGGTTTTGTGTGCAAGAGGCTTGAACATGCAGCAGGTATGTGTGAGTGTTAGGAGTGAATGGAGACTAGCTGTTGGAGTGTGAGCATAACATTTTGTGAAAGGATTTAGGGAAATGGGTTAAGCTGGACTTGAGTCCTGGAGGTGGGAAGTACAGTGTCTGCACTTTAAAGACGGGGTTGGGATAATGGCTGTTTGGAGTGACATCTAAACCATCGTAGTCTGTGTGCCACTGCAAAGGCACTGATTATATGTGAATGGCAGTGTAAGTGTTTCTTTTTTTGGGTCACCCTGCCTCGGTGGGACACGGCCGACGTGTTGATGACAAAAAATAATATGCACTTTCATTAAGCCAGAACTGCAAACTTATACTTAAAAAGCTTACACTCTAATATACTCTAGCGCTTCATTATGATTATAATAATCTAATATATGTACATTTGCCCAGTAAAGGATTTCACTCTTATAATTTGATTTTTCCATAAATGAAGCTTTACTCGTGAACTAACGTTTGTGTTAAGAAAAACCTGTTATTCAATAGCTTACGAAACCATTATCAGCATAAACCTCTACATTTCAAGTGCCATACACACACGGGTCATACAACACCTAGGGAATTTGCAATAATGAGATGACTCAAGAAAAAGAAGGGTAGTTTCAGTAACTCAGGTCAAGTGCCGTTTGCTAGCATCAGGGCACTTCCCTCGAAAAGCTCAAGGCTAATAAAGTACTTTTAATTCTAATCATGGGGACTTGTTAAAACTGTATGGGTCATTCAGTATAAATCTGTAATTAAACAACACTGATATCTAAATCGAAGCAATACTGAAGACAGAACTCACGTTTTATCCTCAAGCAACTCTTTAGTGAGGTTGAGTCTCAATCTCACTGTCTTCACTGACTGAAATGGGAAGAGCCTGCAAAAAGGTGCAAGAAAGTCAGGCTGCCAGCACAACTCCGGGAAAGACGAACAATAATTCCAGAGCCGCTCGTTGTGGGAGAACAACCACGGATGATCTGGCCCAAAGGCTAGATAATGCTCTGAAAATAATGAATTATTATTACATTCATGAAGGAGGGAGGAGCACTAAACCAGTAGGGGGTCTACAGCACCTGAGAGAATGGAAGGCAATCTAGCTTAATCCAATGAATGGGGATTTGTCCAGTTCCTTGAGTCAAGAGAACCTCACTGGAGTTAGATGTTATTGATCTGTGATTTTGCGCGTATTTATGATTATAATAATTGATCTGTGAGGGCATGGAAGTCAGTACTGGAATTTGATGTATGCGAGTATACTGTAACCTGTTCAAGGTAACTTTATAAAACTTACATACACTCTTCTTTGTATAAATATCAACGCTGTATGATGCTGGTGGGTTTAGCGCTTGGTTTTGATTACAATAATACAAATACAAACTTTATTTCTTTGTATAGTATACAATGTAAAGTTTACATGTTATAAAAGCTGTTAAGCACAAAGAAAGACACTAGAATGCCTGAACATTTCGAGCAGATAATAATAATTTGTGTAAATATAATTATTGTAAAGCATAGATAGGGTAAATTAAGGTGTGTGGACAGCAAGTTGGCTCCTTAGATGATCCATATTAAAATCACTTCCCTTTCGAACTGTTAAACTTATTTAAAATGTAAGTGTTTTATTATATAAATTACAGAATTATCTAGTTATGTACAGTTTTGAGTTTTATTTATTATGGTTATCAAATGTGCAGAAAGCTAGTGTTCAGCTTGTGTAGGTGCAGGTGACCACTCTCCGCCAGGTCCAGATTAAGGCATGGACTTCAGTAGTTGCAGCTCAGGGGCCTCCGTCAGCCGGAGGGCCTCCTGAGATTAAGTGAACAGTGTTCACGGTTACTGCTAAGTTTATGATTATAGTATGTTATTACATCACGTATATAATCAAATGTTGACTGTTGTGACTATTTTTTTTCCCCCTCGACATCACTTGGAGCCTCACAGTACCTATAGCCCAGGGGCCTACAAAATCTTAATCCAGCTCTGCAGTCACAGCACCCACTCTAGTCAATCACAGAGAAAAATTATACTGAGTTAATGTAAGCAAGACTTTTTTTTTAGAATTCATAGGATTGCATCATACCGCAGTAAAACTTAATTTATATTTGTATACTTAATAAATATTAATTAATATTTTATTGTGAATTTATTTACCATTTTTTGAAGTGTTACTTATTTGCATACCCCTATATACTCCCTCAGTATCTGCAAGAGATGCATAACTCATCACTCAATAATAGAATCCTGGGTTTGCAGCCCAAGGGACCCACAACCAAATCCTTTACAAGGTTTGGTACTAGTAATAGTTAAATGAAGGGTCCTAGACCAAGTTTGTGTAATAACCCATATTAAAACATGGGATTGAATAGTACACTATATAACTAGTGTGGGTATAGTTCCCTAGGGAATGAAATGTCAAAAATATGTTTACAGATTTCAAAGAGATCATGCTCGTATTTGCAAACCTACAGCGCATTAAAGATTATGAAATACCAGATTTTTACAGCTTCCCCACAACAAAAATTCAGCACATTTGTACTCTTCATGGGTAAGCGCCTATAATCAACTCACCCATGTCAGTGTAGTTGCAAGTGAGAAGATGTTGCAAATTGTGGATTGCTTGTTTTGCATCCTTCCCATACCGCACCTGAGAGATACCGAAGTCCAGAAGTGGCTCATAGTGATAGAAGTTTGCTGGGTGCGACTCTAGTATATCACCTGTGGGTAGAACATTAAGCTATTACTGTGTAGTATATCACCTGAGGGCGAATATTAAGATAATACTGTGTGTAGTTATACAGTGAGGTCTTCTAAAATGAATATGGTTCTTTAATAAAAAAATAACAATGGGTCAAAAAAAAATTATTCATGTGATATATTGCAAATGTATGGAACAAGCGATAAGTTACTAAAAGCACTAAAACAATTTTTATGTGGAGAGTGAGGCTCAGGATAGGGATATATAGGAGAGAGTGAGATTATTTTCCAGTAAAAGTAAGCCTTAGACAGGGGGATGTGATGGCACCATGGTTGTTTAACCATTTATAGACTGGCTGTAAAAGAAGTGAACGCTAGTAATGAGAAGAGGTGGGAGATTAAAGGATAACCAATCTGGTACAAAGTGGGAGTTGTCATAGTTGATTTTTACCGATGACACTATTCTTTTGGGAGATTCTGATGAAGAGTCGCAAAGGTTGATGGAGGAATTTGGGACGGTAAGTAAAAGAGAATTAAAAGTGAACATAGGAAAAAGCAAGGTAATGAAATTACGGGGGGGGGAGACTGGAGAGAAGGAATATAAAGGAGTAAATACATTCAGATATTTTGGGATAGACTTGGGGGGGGGGGGATGGATGGGGCTATGAAGGTTGAGGTGATCCATGCTGTCGAAGAGGTAAAAAGGTGGGTGCTACATCGAGACATCTGTGGCAAGATTATTATTATCCTAATCAAAAGGGAGCGCTAAACATCTGTGACAAGAAAGTTATTTATATACGGAGGTAAAATATTTAATGTACCAGAGTACGGTGGTGCCAACACATATCTGGTTGTGAAGCATGAGTTGTAAATGTTGCAGAAAGAAAAATCTGGTCTGTTGCTCGTGTGATGGACCATGTTCAAGGGGTCGCGTCTTGGCTGGCCCCAGTGTGTTCTTTGTTCTAAAAACCACTCGTTTTCGTAGTTGCAATTGATATTATATACAGTGTGTATGTGTACAATAAATAACACAGTTGATACCGAGATATAGAGATCCTGGCATATCGTGTGGGTAGACCTACTCAAACACTGACATATGCATTCGTTACACTTTCCAAAGTTTCCTAGCACACTGCAAACTAAAAATAATATTTGCACATACCAATAAATGTTGAGCCAGAGCGCCAGGTTGTGATGACGAGGCTCCTCACAGGACGACCTCCAGACTCCATCGCCAGATCATTCATATTCCTGAACGAACGCCACATCATAGACTAGATTAATTATTTTCTCATTCTTGCACACACACATACGAAGCAATATAATATTTTTATTCTCCTGAACACATGCTACAAAATAAACTACATTATTAATGGTGTTAATGCTGATTTATACTAAAAAGCATTCACCTTCCCTGGATCAAGAGCTTTTCTGGTATCAATACACTTTCCTAGAGGATACCAGTGTTATGCATACTATGCTAACAAACGTAAAAAGTATTGTCAATAGCATTAATAACATCATCAATAACAAACCCAACTCTAAGGATAGCAGAAATTTGAAAACCCGTTTTGACTTAAGTGGATATAATGTGCCATGGGATAGAAAGAAGTCTGTGGCTTTCTATATTTTCACCTTTATAGACTGAATGACTCCTAAGGATTTCGCGTTCCCCCAATAAATGTACAAGATTTTATAATATATATTTTTATTCGTTAAAATCCATTTTTATATTTTATGGTATCTAGCGTGTTGGCAGTATTGCCATTTTTTAATGCATAACAATATTAAGAATTACATTACTGTAATGTATCTGGTATAATACTGCTGGAAGACTAAAAATACAGATCAGTCGTATAATCATACTTTGCCTTAAGTTTAGGATGGAATTTGTAGCCCTCCATGGCCTGGGTTAAAAGTTCTCGTTCCCTGGTGAGAATGACTTCTATCAAGTTCTCTTCAGTGTAAGATGTCGCAGCTTCCGTCAGTAACTGCTGCCGTAGACCTGGCACAATCTCCGCTTGACCACCAGGATTAAGGTTAGTCTCGTTTTGACTTGTACCAGCTCCTGGCTCATCATATGTGCTTGCTCTAGGGCCTGTGCTTTCCACTTGACCCACATCAAGGCTACTATCCTTCGATAGACCTACTCCATTGCCTGTATTTTTCACTTTATTTGCACCAAGACCTCCAGCCTTCATTAAACCCGCATCAGGGCTTCCATCTTTCGCTAGACCTGCACTAGGGTCTGCATGATCATTTATACCAACGTTCGCCCTGGAGTATGAGCTTGCCAAGTTCCTTGACCCTGTGTCTTCCTCTGGACCTGTGTTTTGCTTTTCTTTCTCTTCCAGTGTTGCATTCTCTCTCGCCTCTCCTTCCACTCCATGGCTTACATTCTCGTCTGAATCTGTTATCATAAAGAATGTGGGTTAGATTACAAAGAGAATTGGTAGACTTGTGGATAGACGGGAAGAGAGAAGTGGTAGGCTTGTGGATAGACGGGAAAAAGAGATTGAATTTTAAAAAAAATCAGTAACTTTGCCAACTGATATAACATTGTACAATGAATAATAACAGGTAAATAAGAGCTAATATAATGAAGAGAGGTTTTAATATGAGCTAAATAATAAAATACAAGTGATGATATTAACAAAATAATTGTAAGTACTGTAACCATGCTGGTGAGGGGCTCACTCAAAGAATAAAAGCTGACATATCAAGTCAATACATTTTTATTGACTTTAGCTATGGTAGCGCAATATAAAAGCTATACTCTGTGCGATTTTGAACATTATATTTTTTTGTATTGCTTTGAAAATGTAATTTGAATAACAATAGTGCTTAAGCCTTGGCGTTGTATAATCCCAACGGGTTTAGCGCTCCCCCATAATAATGATAATTAAACCTTGATGAGATGGCGTGATACAGTCCATGATATTTGACACTGCTGACTCACGAAATCGTAATGACACGATTGCAAACAAACCATACCACGGGCGGGATTGAACCCGCGTGTCATTACGATTTCGTGAGTCATGTTGACGGCATTGAGGGGACTTGAGCTAGAGTTCGTCACGGCCACGCAAGCTGGAGATTCGTCTGCAAAAACTTGCATTTGTGGTCACAGTGGTGCCTATGCTAACCTTTCTATGGTGTAGAAATATACATAGTTGGACGAATCTTATCGTGGCTAGCTGGTCCAGTGGCTAACGCGACGGTCTGGAGTTTTGAGACTGACCGCGGGTTCAATCCCGCCCGTGGTATGGTTTATACTTGACACTGATGCAGGGTTGTTTCTCACCCCACAAAGTACTGGTATGTATCAAGGCTTTTGTGTGTTTTCTAATTCATTCCAGTGTAGACAGATAATGTTGACCCCGTAATATATGTTACAGGTTGATCGTATACAATTATCAATACATGTTCACTTGATGCGAACATGTATTGATCGCATGCATTTATCAATACATGTTCGCATCAAGTGATGTCCAATATGACTAAGCGTAAATCAGCTGACTTAATCACGTGTTTGCTAAACCTACAGAAGCCACCTGTGGCGAAGCATTTTCCCTAATAACTGTATTGAACTGTATACAAGTATCTTTATCTACATCTTATCTTCTACAACCAGATGAGACAAATATAAGAGAGCAGCTGGATGTATGATAGACCTGCCTAGCATGGGCCGGTACGCCCTCTGCAATGCTCCTCTCTTGTTTTGTCCTGTAATATACACCAAGACAACCCTCCACAAAACGGTGTTAACAGACAAATGTAAGTAGCACATACCAAAATGAAACCGAATGAATTTATGGCTGCTGAGGGGTACGCTCTCGGCCGTTTCTTCCTGGGCTGTATACAAACTTTGGTAATCCTGTTGGAGTGACAGAATAAGAGGTGATACTATCTTTAGCTGCTAGTGTTTACCTCTCAGCCATACACTTATTATAGCAGTCAACATGATCAATTTTAGACAGTCTTTATTTAATATGAAAACATTGATAGTTTCAATAGTGACATACAAAAATGTTAATTTATTTTATAATATAGTTTAGTAACTGTGGTCATTATTCAAATGAAATAAAATTAAATGCGAGAGACCAGAGTGTGTGATTTCGAGTTACACTTGAAATCACACATCACGAGAGGATTTAACCCATTCACTAGAGTTTCAACACTTGAGACATACTGTAAATCACAGCTCCGTAGCTTACATGGATGCGCCTGGAGGGGTAGAGAGGTGGAAGGTCTGCTCTAGTGCCTGGTCTGACAGGTGTGGTCAGGTCTGACTGGTTGATGACTAAAAAGAGACAAACCATCACTGACAGGCCAACCAATAGCGTCCTCCCCGTGTGTCTCCTGTTGGATAGGACAAATTTATATGGATGGCATGCAAGATAGGCTAAAGGCAAACCCATACAGCTGTTTCGGTACTACTCTTAAAAAAGGAACTATACAACTAAGATAACAGCTTGTGTGCTGAGCAACACCTTCCCTGCAGGACTCCACTCCAGAGGTACGACGGCCCGGGTAGTCATTGCAACACTCAGGAATCTTACAGGATATTGATATCCAGAGCACAAGCACCACCACGTCGACACACCGCGAATTTTAAGTGCTTGAAGATATGCTGAAGTATCATGTGGGTGAGTGGCGCGTTGTCTTGGTGTATGCTACTAGAACAACGAGATAACTGGGTCTGGTATATCCAGCTCTTCACTTTCTCCGTTAGCTTTCATTAAACTCTCGCTCTCGCTCGACCACACTCGCCTAAGACGACACTCGCAGCAACTTCCTTCGTTTTCACCTTGGATTTTCGCCATAAGCTTCTTTAACAAATCTGGGGAGTAACTTGTACCAACTTACTCTCGCCCCTCCCACCTCTCCTGACTTACTCTCGCCCCTCCCACCACCTCTCCCGACTTACTCTCGCCCCTCCCACCTGACAACTTCTTACTGAAACACATTCACATTGTTTTTCCATCATCATCCTCTTCATTCCTACTTCACCCGAGAGAAATTTTCACCTATTCACCTTCCGTCTATACAGAAACCTGCTAACCACAAACTTCACCCCAGACACACATTCTCACGGCACCTTCACTTTCCCTCAACACATTCTTCAGGAATGTGTCGAGAGCATGACACATGCATGTCATGCCTTCACTCAAAGTCTTGACACATTTCCTAATACAATCTATTATACTTAGGTATTTGCTGATTACCATTCGCTTTCACACGTTATATAAAACTCACTCGCATAGATACACAGATAGACAGCAGATAATAATCAAGGGTCGACTTCAGATGATTGATCTAGGAAGGACTTTGAAGTTGCAATCTGGTTGGAATAGGAGACTAGAGGACTTGTTGTGAGGCAGCACTATTATTTTCCTTTGGGGGCTTAAGCCCCCCTTACCCCCTCTGGAGCCGCCCATGATATAATTGGCTACTGAATTTCCACAGTAACTGCGAAGTAATGAAGTAAAACCCAGAAAGTTTTACCAATTTGTAAGAAAATTTATTACAAGATTCATAAAACAAATTGAACATTGTCACCATCGTAGACAAAGGAGAAAAAAATATGAAATTGAGAATGCTGGAGCCGAAAGGAAATTCAGCTTATATACATTAATAAAAAAAATGCATCAGTTTACAGGATACTACACTTAAAGCTGCAAAAAAGGTTTTAAGACAATAAATTAAATCGGCCTAGGTTAAAAACCTCCACTGTTAAACACGGCATTAAAACAGGCATGCTTAGAGTGTTTATTGAAATGTGACGTCCCTTGTGAAAATTTGTGTGGACTGCCTCCAAGTGAGTCGCCTACCCTGGCAAACTCTGTTGACACCGAGCTCTGAGGTGGGTACCTCAGCCTCACAAGTGGCTTATAGGACAGATTTTCACAAATGATTGATGTTGCAAGAAAACTCGCCTGCATGCACGTATAAAGGACTAACTTACTTGGTGTTGCAGCATATATCATGATCTTCAACTTCCCTAAGCTTAGCCTTAGCCCCTTTGGACTTCCCCTCAGAAACCACGTGCAACAGGGAGCCTTAATTCCTGCAATATTCAATCGTTATTAGTGACCTGCCTGCACCTCAGAAATTCCTATATCCAAGAGGGTATGTATCCCCTAGTATAACTATGCAGACACGGACACTAGCTTCCAGACTGCCAAGAGACACTGGTACTTACTGGGCATCCTCTGCCAGCTGCAACACAGGCCCCACAGATAAAACTCACTCACAATCTCCCCAGACACTGGCCAGAAATCTACGAGATAAAGTGGAGGTCTTGTCTTACTGTATGGGCCTGACGGAGGTCATCTACGGTACATCGAGGTGCCTCTACCAGATTTCCCCAGGTCTCAAATGTGAAGACACGTGGGGGCGCCGTCTGCTGATCACGGCACATCTTGTCCAGTTGGTGTCTGTCTTAAGAAGAACGAGCTGGTCTCTCTTCCAGACCCTCGTGTCTTCGTTCAAACTAGGGCTGCCATTTCTCCCTAGCTAACTTATCCTAGTGTTTGCCTACATTATCGGCCTATTACTACCTATGTTAAGGTCTTAGGTCTACATTATTATTGTCTACAGTTGCCTTAGTAAACCTAGTATTAATATACTAACAGTAAAACTACATACTCCTTCCCTGAAGGGTAAATTTATAAATTAAATAAATGCCTACCAACAATCCACGCCAACTAGAGAGAATGCTGTTTGTTTGGGAGGGTTATAAGGCCACCCAGCTCAGCCGTCCCATTATAGCTATGCTGGGACCCCTTCGTACGTCGTATCTGTCCTGTGGAACTTTAGGGACCAAATAAATTTCCACATCCCTAGCGAGTGACGTCCCTAGCGAGTGGCCGCAGCATAGGCAAAGTTACCAGCTGAAGGACTCTGTAAGACGTGCAATACTGTATTCCGTTTGTAACATAATTAAGGACTGTCATTTAGGATATTATACTCATGATTGTTTGGTTCGATCCTTGAGTAAGAGGTGCCAGCGTGGAGTTCATTTCTAGAGAAGCACAGAGTTGTAGAACATTCAGAAGTTTTCCACCAGACTACTTCCAGAGTTGAACAGTCTAAACTAATGCTAAATGTTACGACACGGGAGGAGCAAAGACAAACAGGAGCCATTAGCGCAGTGTACAAGATATTCACAGATGAAGAATACAACTTTATTTGGAATATTCTTTTCCGGAGGATAGTAACCCAGAGTAGGAACCGTAGGCTCTTCCCTGGATTGTTACCCACAACAGTTGACAAACTTCTAGGTATCTATTTAGTGGAAGGTGAAAACCGAGAACAAAGAGGTTAGAACAAAGAGGTTAGAAAACTTTACCTCGGTTCTAGTCCTGCTCTGCACCAAACCGGGGCTCTTTCTGTTGCGATCCGAACGTTCTATCACGGAGCCGGAAGGCGCTATAATACAGACATGCTGATAGTATCTAATGGTTATTATTATAACTATAATTTTTAAAGGGGTGAACGGTAAACCAGTGGAAGGCCTCGGTCAGATGACCAAAAGCTCTATCTGCGTCAGGAAGCACTTGTCATGTTTCCTAACCAACCTGCTTACCCTAACCTAAGGCTGGATGGGTGAGAATAGAGACGACCATGATGAAAACATGGAGGTTTTGGAATTTCCTGACCACAAGTACCTGGTGGTCAAAAAGGGCGGCAGTCTATGGAAAGCCACTCACACAACTTCCCTCCCTGGAACCAAGTAGGGAAGACGAGACAGTTTTTAATGTCGAAAAGTCACAAGAATATTAGAAAAAAAAATCAGCATACGGCTACTAAAGAGGTGAAATAAGCAAGGAGAAATCTTAAAACTTGTCTCATATTATGGCTTTCAGAGGTTCAATTGAGATCACTAAAGACTGGAGGCGTACAGCAGAACCGAGAATGTCATGAGGCTGGTCCGAGAGCTGTAGATCATCCCCTTTGCAAACACAACTGGATCAAATGAAAGTAGAAATTATAATGATACTGGAAACACGGAGGAAAGAACAAGTTTGCCTGAAGAAGGTTTCGGGGGTCAACGTCCCCGGTCACTCCAAATGATTCCAGGACCGAAACGCATCTGATAAAGATGTCCTAAGTGTATGCACTTGTCATTCACAACCAGGCCAGTACACACTAACAGGCAGAGACTGGCTGACAAGTGGAGACTGGCTGACAGATAGAGACTGGCTGATAGGCAGACTAGCTGACAAAGTCTGGCTGACAGACTGGCTAACCGGAAGCACAAGGCCAGGTGTAAATCACCAGCACAATGCCAGCTGTAAAGTCACCAGCACAATGCCAGCTGTAAGTCACCAGCACAATGCCAGCTGTAATCACTAGCACAATGCCAGCTGTAAATCACCAGCACAATGCCAGCTGTAAATCACCCGAGATACACCACCTGTAAATTTCTAGCAGGAATGGAACTCAATCCCACTAAAAACCGACTCAAAGTTCTAATATTTACAAAAGACGCTGAGATGAGACGAGCCTATAAAACACAATAAGCATTAAACTTAAGATTGCAGCAATAGAAAAGACCCTACATGTAAATTACACGTTAAAATTATTTGCATAATTTGAAACAAATGTAAATTGCTAGTGACTAAAATGTGTAAATCAGTGCGAGGTTTCCGTTGAAAAAAAATCTAAGCCAGAAAAAACAAGAAATACATAATTAATGCAGAATTCCTAGAGGATGGAAGCATGGCAAGGCGAGACAGAGGTCGGATCTCCCGACTCACAGTCGGTGTTATCCGACTGGTGTGGGGCTCATCCGAGGACCTTAAGAATGCCGACAATAATAAACCACATTGCTTGGATTTTACTGATTATCTTGGGTTATTATCCCTCCTGGGTTAGTCACCATCCTGGGCTAATAACCCAGTAAAATCTGTTGTAACCAATCTTGTAATGGATTATAGAGGTTACAAAAGGCCTACCAGACTCTTGTAATGGATTATAGAGGTTACAAAAGGCCTACCAGACTCTTGTAATGGATTATAGAGGTTACAAAAGGCCTACCAGACCTCAGTGGATATATCCATCTTTGAATATAAATCTGAGTCGGTTCAAAGATTGTAATATTTTTCGTCTAGCGTGGATTGATCCAGTCGACACATGGAATGGATTAATTTTGTTTCAGATATCGTATTAAAATTTTAGTGATGGTACAATATTGGTAGTGTAATAAACACTAGTCAACGAGAACGAACAAGCCAATTTAGAGATATAAAACATGAAAATGAAGAGGCAGGTCGTATATTTCGACCTCTGAGATCCTCTTCAGCAGGTGAAGGCCCTAGCCAGCAGGGCAAGAGGACCTCAGGAAATACAAATAT